TAGGGGCCATCGTTGTCGTCCGTTGTGTCGATAGCTTCATACGCAATTACGTCGGTCCCGGCAGTATCAGTGGACACACACTCTCACTCTCACATCCACACAATCACCTCTCTCTCTCTCTCTCTCTCTCTCTCTCTCTCTCTCTCTCCCCTTCCCTCACCCCCACAGTGGAGACACCAGCCTGCCAGCCTACAGTCGAGTAGTTCGGCGTTGGTCACTCGCCTCTCCTATTCTCTATTCCTCTCTGTCTTCCTCTTGTTTCTCCTTCCTTCTCCTGCACTTTCGCACACTGTTCCCTCTGGTATAGGTAGCCTTGTTCGTCCTTTCCATTCCGCTTTTTCCTGCCGCCTCCTCTCTCGAACCTGCACCCACCCACCCCCGCCCGTCCACTCAACAACCACTCTTCCAAGCCGGTCCTGTCCACCTCTCTGTTCCTGCATTCCCCTCCTGAATCGCGGAACACCAAAAGCTCGTTCGTCATAGTTCGACTGGACTTGCCCAACCCTACTCCTCTCACCGACTTGTTCATTACTGTGCGCATCTCGCAGCGACAGCCATGTCGGACCAGCAGAACCAAGGGGCTTCGCTGCCGTCTACCCAATCAGGTGGCGCACCTGGCTATGAGGGCAACCAGGGCCAGCAACAGCAGCACATGCCTCCCCCACCGCTAGCTCCTGTCATTATCCCACAGAACAACAACCCCATCCCGACCGCCATCAGCTCGCCCATGTCGGGAAACCCAATGTCCCCGACCAGCGGGCAGCCTGGCTATGTCCCTCGCCGTGCAGCGCCCGAGCCCAACAAGCGCGCGCTATATGTGGGTGGGCTGGACCCTCGAGTCACCGAGGACGTGCTGCGCCAGATTTTCGAGACCACCGGCCACATTCAGAGCGTCAAGATCATCCCCGACAAGACCGCGAGCTCTCCATCAGTAAGGCAGCCCCTCCCAACTACCATGCCCTCTTTTCATCACACAAGGCTGTCTGGGGTGGCAGGGGTGGCATCCGTCTTGCGTGCAAGAAGCTAATCGTGGATTGCGCAGGGCTTCAACTACGGCTTCGTCGAGTACGATGACCCAGGCGCGGCCGAACGAGGCATGGCCACACTGAATGGACGCCGCATTCACAACACGGTAAGTGGGGTGCCGAACAAGGGCAAGGCATAGCATCGTGGTCAATCTCTGACTCCATCAGGAAATCCGCGTCAATTGGGCCTATCAGTCCAACAACACGGCAAAAGAAGACACCTCGAACCACTTCCACATCTTCGTCGGCGACTTGTCCAACGAAGTCAACGATGAGGTTCTTCTCCAGGCCTTTTCCACCTTCGGTCCGGTGTCGGAAGCTCGCGTCATGTGGGATATGAAGACGGGCAGGTCGCGTGGATACGGTTTCGTTGCTTTTCGCGAACGTGCCGATGCTGATCGCGCGCTCAGCTCCATGGACGGAGAGTGGCTTGGTTCGCGGGCGATTCGATGCAACTGGGCCAACCAAAAGGGCCAACCTTCCATCTCCCAGCAACAGGCCATGGCCTCGATGGGCATGACCCCTTCTCA